TGAAGCAGTAATTCGTTTCGGTTTGAAGGGTGGGGCAGCCGTTGTAACTATACTGAGACCTTAGAACTTATATCTCAAGGTGCGTGGCGCATTTACGTTGTAGATGTCTATGGGCTCCAGTAACCACTTAACACCAGGTGGGCTGTAAGCTCGTCCACTCATCTAAGCAATAAAATAAAATAAAAATGATGTCCATTCAACAGATTTGATAAAATGTCGTCTTTAGCTACTTTCTTTTCTTCTCTGTTGTTCCTTGACTGTTAATGCTCATGACTTTCTTGTAATCTTCGCACTGTTTCTCTCCATTCTTCTTGCGATATGGGTTCCGAAAATACAAGTGGTCCCAAGCCTGCTACGAAAACTTGTAATGTTAATGTATTTAAGACGGTCCTGGCTATAACACAACCTTCTGATACAAGAGTCCAGAGAATCCAACTATAAGACCAACGAAGTAGCACTATTATTGATTGATGGTTTTCTATTGCCATTTATGGTAAAACGTCTGCTATTTCAATAAATTTATTGATCACGCACAAATCAAAAAGGTATAATTAGACCTCCAAAGGTCATGATTTTAATACCGATTTGTAATTCAATTTTAATGCTGAAAAAAATCAGTAAGAGACTAAGTTTTTGCTCTTTTTCAAAGATATGTACATCACACAATCGTCCACAGTCGTCCACTGCTGGACATAGGCCTCTTCCAATCCACACCACTGAGCCCGGTCTGCGGCTCTCCTCATCCACTTCTTGCCGGCCACCGTGCGGAGGTCATCGCACCATCTAGCCAGGGGGCGTCCCACGTTACGTCTTCCACTGCGCGGTCTCCACTCGAGAACAAGTCTGCTCCAGCGATCGTCAGTCCTACGGCATATATGGCCAGCCCACTATCACTTCAGCTTGCTGACTCTTTGAGCTATGTCGATGACTTTAGCTCTCTGTCGAATAATCTCATTCCGGATTTTATCCTTCAGAAAAACTCCGAGCATGGCCTTTTCCATGGCTCACTGAGCGACATTGAGCTGACGGATCAACCGTACTGTGAGTGTCCACGTTTCGGCTCCGTAAGTCATTACCGGTAGGACGCACTGGTTAAAAACTTTCTTTTTCAGGCACTGTGGTTTGTGCGATGAAAAGACTCCACGCAGTTTACCGAACGCCGCCCAGCCCAGTTGGATCCTTCTCTTGACTTCCCTCTCCAAGCTGTGTTTACCCATCTGCAGCGTCTGCCCGAGGTATAAATATTCATCAACAGCTTCAAGCGGGCAGCCCTTCACGACGATCGGACCCGGGCTAATGTAACCATTGAACATCACTTTGGTTCTATCCATGTTCATCCGGAGTCCAATTCGTCGTGAAGAATCTGCTAAGCCGTTCAGCATCTGCTGTAGATATTGCAACGATTCCGCCATGAGAACTATGTCATCTGCAAACCGCAAGTGTGAGATGTACTGGCCATTAATGTTTATGCCCATCTTTTTCCAGTCTAGCGTCTTAAACATATTTTCCAATGCGTTAGTAAACAGTTTCGGGGAAATGACGTCCCCCTGTCTCACTCCCCTACGCAATTGGATAGGGTTAGACTGCTGATTCTGTACTCGAACATTCATCGTGGCACAGTCGTAGAGGCATTTCAACACCTGGACATAGCGATGGTCTACCTGGCATCGCCGCAGAGAGTCCAGAACCGACCAAGTCTCCATGAAGTCGAAAGCCTTCTCATAACCCACGAATGCTAAGCACAGGGGCCGATTTAATTTAACATTTACAAAACTTTATTAGTAAATCAAATCAGTAAATATTTTAAAACAAATTTAAACTAAAGAAAGGTGTATGTTATCAAGCACTGATCTGACATAAGAACAAAGATCTGTTTAAGCTGTTGCTGTCTGAAGTACAAAATCAAACCCACGTGCTTTTCTTAATAGAATAGTAGATAACTGTAAGAATGTATAGTAGTTGCCTAGAAGACGGATCTGGACTGTGTGACCAAATCCCACATTCAGGAGGCGTTTGGAAGCTGTTGACCACTACATTCACACCGCTGACAACCCATAAAGAAACTCTGATGCCACAACTAAACCTTGCCACATCAATATGTATATTATCACCTCCCGCCTAGGCTCAGTTTCGCTTGGAACTGGGCATCACTCTCTCCTGTTTACAAGTAATTGACATCAATAGATGAGTGTAATGATCGTCTATTATGCTATCTATAGTTTTGGATAAGTGGCCTATTGTGCGGAGTTTTAAAGTCACCGTGATTTATTATTATCTATCAATTGCTTGGCTTTCGATATTGTCAGAAGTTCGTGTATAATCATATGATGATTTGGTAAAAACTAGGGTTGTATCGAGTTACAGGGTCCATTGATGAATTTTCTCAAGACCCGCTTGTTAATTTTTAAGCGACGTCAAAATAGGGTTCCTTAAATGACTTTTTTGAGCGAGCAAAATATAATACATTCTAAAACCAGCTGATGTGCAATCAATGGATTCGTGTACCGCTAAGAACGTATTATCTAAGCTTTGTTTGTTTGTTAGGGCTTCACAAAAAACATCATGGCTATACTAAAAATAAATATATTTTTCTGTTTACATTTGTATATATTATTATATTGCTTAGTCTTTGAGCGTGAAGAACAGTTAGTTCTATTGAAAATAAGAACGAAGTTGCTTCTATGTTAACTTATTGGAAAAGTGCTTAATTAGATTCCTTGAAATTCCCAAGGATGTTTGAAAGTTTTCTACATTTAAAATTTCATACGTCACCACGTATTCTTTGATTTTCGTAATCACGGATGCTCACTGCAAACTGGAAACGACATGAACTAATTCACCTAAATTTATAACCTAAGTCGATCAAGAAAAGATCTAAATTAGAACATCAAAAATATAATCCGGAAAATCGGACATATGACTCCGGCGCCGTCACGTCTGCGATAACTTGCACGAACTTCGAAAGCTGTCCGAGCTTACATAAAACTTGTCCGTAAGCTCGGCGGCGGTCGAGAAATGAAAAAAAAGATGACGTAACTCTTTAATAATCCACATTGCATAATTATTTATGAATCAAAGAAAGTTGGTATTGCACAAGACTCAGTGTGGGTCAAGTGGCGAGGAACATAATTATGATACACCTGACATCCCATTTGATGGTAAGCAGTAATTAGCTAAAATGATAATAGAAGAAGAAACTTAAGGACCCATTTTTTGTGATTGACTAATTGAATAAAAATATAAGCAATTAATGTTATCTATATAAATAAAATTAATGTGAGTTTGTACATTTTACATAATACATATGAACAATATGTTTATGGTAATTGGTCGTATTTCATATATATTTAGCAATAATCGCTGCGAAACAGGTTTGATTGGTTAGAAAATGATCCCTGCCGAATTTATTCCATACCTATACACTAAGACTGTTAGTAAGTGCATTGCCAATGTGCGCTTTTCTTAATTTTCTTCCCTGGTATTTCCCTAGTAACCTCAACTTACTCATACTTCTTACTTACTAACTTCCCAGTTTCTAACCCGGTCTTGAGTCCTCAGGATAGTCGCGTGAATTTTCCTATTTCAGCCACGACGTAAGCACGCGTTCAAGACTGATACAACAGTCATAGTGGCGAGGCAAAAACCCCAAAAAAACACCTGTAGAAACACGAATATAGAACTATGCCCCATATCTCGTTGGATCTTCTCAGTGGGTCGCGTTTCCGATCCGGTGGTAGATTCTGCGAAGCACTGCTCTTGCTAGGGTCAGTGTTAGCAATTCTCCGGTTTGAGCCCCGTGAGCTCACCTACAAACGTTAGGGTGAAGCTGAAACAGCCTCTCAAGGCTATCAGCATAGGTAGGGGAAAAATTTTGAACTATCTTTATCTCGTGTTGTCTTATTTTGTTGCAATTGTAAACGCGTTGCTGTTGGTCCAGTAACAACAGCAATAGCGAGTACACACATTCGATTACGTAAAAACAACCTAAAATCGAAAAGTTCCTTCAATAATTCGACCGTTAAAATTCAACTACGATCTTCTTTAGTTTCGCTCGGATGTGCTCGCGCTGTATCGGAATGGCCTGATCGTTTACTATGGAATACAAATGGTAGCAAATAATATATTAAAACGGTCATTTCGGATGCTCAAATGTTTTATAAACGCGATGTATTAGAAAGTGTTTTTTTTATGCGAAACCTCATAACGGCTCGAGTATTCGAAGAATGTGGGGCACGCAATGTCCTTAGAGACTAAAGAAAGTAAGAGCTGTATGACATAATCTTGAACATTTTTTGTTCAAAACGAGGTCTTTGGACCCGCCCGATTTTAACTTGTAACCGGAGTCCGTAGATGTAACGTTAAGTGTCCACTTTGAGACATGAGGTCGCGGTCTCAATTGTATAACGATTATCTCAACCTTCAAAAGGGAAAGTGTGATAGCTACAGAAATAGGTAGTAGAACCAAATAGGCAGTAAGGCCCAAATTTCTCGACACCAGTAAAAAAATATGAATTCATATTACAGAAGGTTTACCGAATATTTTTAGGTAACACAAAGAAGATGCCGCCACCAATCTTGAAACATGAGACAGTTATAGTTGTATTGTAAGCGTTACTTTATCATACAGACTAATAAAATGCCACAACTATGAAAATTTATGATTTTTTTTCATTACATTATATAGAAACTTCGTGACGCGACAATTTGGCTTAAAGTTCCCCGATACATACCGTTTCCGATCTAAACCGATCGCCGGCTTATAACCAGAGATATTATAGGCAAATAGAACCTAAATTAAAAGCCATTAGCTAAGCACACACGCACACATGTGCGAAGAAAATTAAAAAAAAAAACCATAAATCACCATTTCTTCGTCTTCACATTAGCACACACACAGGAGCGCGCGCCGCTACATGAAATTTTTTCGAAGTGGGGGATCCGCAAAATAAATACCGTGTATGCCTTGTTGCCTCAACAATTTGTCAAGAACCTTCGGCACGATGAGGGCTTTCGTTGTGCTTTGTGCTGTGGCTTTGGCCGGTGCCGTGCCCGTCGCGAAGGAGGATGGGATGAACAGGTTCATCTCGGCCATCAGGGATTGCGTTGAAACGGATACGTTGTTGTGCCTTAAGGTGTGTGAAGTGCTGTGAAGTGATCATACGTGGTGCTCCGTGATTACATGTTCTAATTAGTTTGCATTCTCGTATGTATGTCTGGAGTGCAACCGTCCCTGGGATACATATGCTCGTTGTATCGAAAAAAAATTAAATTCTTTAATTTCGCATGATTTGTATTAAAATTAAAATTCTAAATATTTTTTATTAGTTAAAAAAATTAGTCCGATATTATTAGATTTTACTTAATTTTTAAAAACGTTCGCTTTTATATTTTCAATAAATTATAATAATATTATTTAATTTTCACAGGAAAAAGCAATGAAGTTCACGGACAATCTGGCCGTCTCCAAGGATTTGACCGTAGTTGATGGCATCAGCTTTTCCAAAACCGGAAGCCCACGCTCCGCCAGGAGTTACGAGGCATTAGCTGACGACCCGAAGATCAGGGAGCAGCAAGTCGAAGAGAGAATCATGGACAATGTCGTGGACTTCCTCGATAGTCACGTTCTGCAGCTGAGAATGCCGAAATACTTCGAAGAGGACAATTCTGTCGAAGAAGAGGGTATGTGATTTTTTTAAATATCTTTTGTCACAGATAAACAGATTTATTGTTATATGGTTACCAGACTTGCCGGTTTTGCTTAGATTGGTGGACGAGCTCACAGCCTACCTGGTGTTAAATGGTTACTGGAGCCCATAGACATTTACAACGTAAATGCGCCGCCCACCTTGAGATATAAGTTCTACGGTCTCAGTATAGCTACAACGGCTGCCCCACCCTTCAAACCGAAACGCATTACTGCTTCACGGCGGAAATAGGCAGAGTGGTGGTACCTACCCGTGCGGACTCACAAGAGGTCCTACCACCAGTAAAAAAAGTTGACACAGAAGCTGAAGTTGAAGTGTCTGTTCTTCTTCTCAGTCCCAGTCAGCACATGTCCTTCGCGGCAGAAATAGGCAAGATGGTGGTACGAACCCATGTTAGCACACACGCTACCTTTAGTGGTTTATTTTCGTATGCGGGTGTCATGTAGCCACGACACAGAAGAAAATAATAAAGCTCGTGGATAGTGGAGCTTTGAAGGTTTTCGTATATGGCAAACAGATATCTAAATGTTGGTAATTATGACAAAATCACTTTACATAGAAGTGGTTCCAAAAGAAAACGTCCAAAATATTATTACTCATCACACAAACCGGTCCCGAAAGAAACTCTCTTTTTAACGCCAGATATCGCCCTTATTTATATAAAATCTATTCCAAATCAATCAATATTCAGGAGCAAATCACACGTGATTATCTGAGCCCAAACTATGAGGTGGTTTTAAAGTTCGGGAATCAGAGATTGACTTACATACTCATAAAGATTACAATATATACGTAAGCAAAACGCCAAGACAAAGAGCGCATAAACCCGATCTTCACAGGAACTTTGGCCCAAAGTGGGAATCGAATCCACGATCTATAGAGTCAGTTAAATAAGATAAACTGCACGTAGCCTTTCGCATTTGCATTTGCGCAATTGCATTCGCTCGTGCACTGTTTAAGTGATACCTTGAATATAAAATAGAAGAGAAAATCTGGCTCTCATCCAAATTAAAGTTGATTTTAAATGCGATTTGATGCAAATTCAAAGCGCAGTATAGTAGCAGTAAGCGTGTACTCTGTAGTAAGACTTAGAAGGTGCCTTCAACTAGATGAACGATTGACAGAAAATGTAAGTACACGAATAGCAAATTTCTTTGGAACAGGCAAATAGGCAGTATTACATGCTAGGACATATGGAGATAAAAATAAAAATTTAGTAGATGATCTGTGGAATTTTCGGCATATACAACGTAAATGGCGCCTCTAAATCAAACTCTGATTTGAAATTCATAAAAGATGAAACCTTCAAAGTACATGACTGCTAGTTGATAGAAATAGGACAATATTACTAATAGGTGTAGGCTCTCAATGCCCCTTACCGCCAATAATAAGACCTTGTCATTCAGCCTTGGGTCGTCCCATTTTGTCAGGCTCAACTTGAGAGAATTGCTAACACTAGCCCTAGCAAGAGAAGTTCCGATTAATAGCTTCGCATTTCTAGTCATAATATTTGTTCACACCGGATCGGCAATGAGATCTCAGCAGTCTTGTCAACTCATTGTTTGAACAATTAGCTTTCGCGGATAACGGTGCTCGTGTGAGACATTCTTGTAAGTGGTGGGTCATGATTCTGTTTGACGTTACAGAGAAACTACGTAAGAATTTAAAGTAGTAAAAAAAATATGTACATTTTAATATTGATAGAGTTGAGGTCGGGGTTCAGGCAGTTAAGTGTCGCGGGAGTTTTAAATTTAAGTAATTATTATTCTGTTATAAACGGCAAAAAACGAGATCCTCATAATTTCATCGTAGCTTAAAGAATAAGGCATTCGGAGTGCTTGTATCGAAAGATGCAACCGTGTCGGTGTTAAAGTTTTTTTTTTTTTCCTACCTATGCTGATAGCCTTGAGAGGCTATTTCAGGTTCACCCTAACGTGTGAAGGTGAGCTCACGGGGCTCAAACCGGAGAGTTGCTAACACTGACCCTAGCAAGAGCAGTGCTTCGCAGAATCTACCACCTAATCGGAAACGCGACCCACTGAGAAGATCCGGCGAGAAACTCAGTGGGCTGTGTCTATGGGTTAATTCGCTCGTCGAGCCCTTCGTTGCAAGCGACGAGTTAGACGAGGACGGTGACCGGTGCTTGTGGTGCCTAAAAGCACCGATAGTTCCGTAGACAGGTTTCTAAAGAAATACGTGCCTGACGTATGTTAGCGACAGACTAACATAATTATGGATGAGTGGACTAAAATTCTATTAGTGCTAGGAATATACATGTTACCGCAAAAAGAAAGAAAAAAACATAACAGTAACGCAACTCTATCCGTAACGGAATTGCAAATCGGTACTGCAGCTGTGTTCCGAAGCTAAACTGGAACAACCTGGTAATCTAAAGTAAGCGAAAACCTTCTTTATTCACTAAAGAATTAAGTTGTGATTTAAGTTTTATCACATTTTGTGAATCCATAATATTACGCGAAGGTGAAAACCGGTTTGTGTTTAAAACCATTTATCCCGCGCTTCGATTCATCCTTATTGAGCGGTTGAATGGGTCGTGGTTGTGGCCCGTGGACACTAAGAGCGTCAAGAGCGCAACCAAAGTATTGCTTGTAAACTAATGTATTATTGAGAGATAGCGAAATTTTATATATTACTAGCTGACCCGGCAGACTTCGTAGTGCCTCAATCGGTAAATAAAAGACCGACGGGACACACATCAAAGGAAAAACAAAATTGTTGTTTTTATTTAATTCCAAGCCTTTTCATATTTATCTACCTTTAAAACCTTCTCTGGACTTTCACAAATAATTCAAGACCAAAACCAGCCAGCCCAGCCGTTCTTGAGTTTTAGGGAGACTAAAGAACAGCAGTTCATTTTTATATATATAGATAGATTAAAGTATAGCATTTTATTGAATGCGAAATGTGCATTAACATTGTCAAGAGCTCCATTTGAGATCTGATATTGCTTTACCGCCTCGCAACGGTATAGAGTTGTCGACTCAAAAACAAAAACGTAGTACCAATCAAAATCAATCAAGCTTTACGACAGAAATTACAATCAAACGAAACTACAGAGAGCTAAATTAATAATTACAAATATATAAATTTAAACAACGTATTTGACATTATGACCTTTTGAGATGCGACTTTCACTAGATTACTGTTAAGTTTTTTTTCTTTTTAACACAGCATCATCGCCTTTGTGTGGTTCCTTTGTGTATCGACTTGAAAAATTATTGACGTCGGACTAACATTTACGAGATAAATGATAAATACGGAAATAATATAACTTTTATATTTGGATAGAAAGCAATATGGATTTGTTAAGACAAATCGCGGGTTTTTTTTTTATTTATTGCTTAGATGGGTGGACGAGCTCACATCTGGTGCTAAGTGGTTACTGGAGCCCATAGACATCTACAACGTATCAGTATAGGTACAACGGCTCCCCGACCCTTCAAACCGAAACGCATTACTGCTTCACGGCAGGAATAGGCAGGGCAGTGGTACCTACCCGTGCAGACTCACAAGAGGTCCTACCACCAGTAATTACGCAAATTATAATTTTGCGGGCTTGATTTTTATTACACGATGTTATTCCTTCACCGTGGATGTCAATCGTGAGCATTTGTTTAGTATGTATTTCATTAGAAAAATTGGTACCCCCCTGCGGGATTCGAACACTGGTGCATCCTTTGGTCCATGGTCAACAAATTTTGCAGGTCAATAAATTGAGCTAGAATACAATTTTTCGAACGCGTATTTTTATTTTTGTTTCGGGGATAAGTCTTAAGATACTTGTCGAATGTTATGGACGAGACAAATCAACTCCCGGTAACCGTACTCGTCGAACTCGACAAACAGTTCAACGTGCAACTTAACCCATGCATCTTCTCAATGGGTCGCGATTCCGATCCGGTAGTAGATTCATTCGCGAAGCAGCTGCTCTTGAGTTGTCAGGTCTTCTTCAAAGGGTGGTCGGGCAGATGTTAGTAAATCCCACCCCTCTTGGCTGAGCCTTTGCTCGCCCACCTGTCCTGGTGAAACTGGAAAGACCTTCAGGCTACCAGTAATCCTTCAATCCTCAACCTTCAAACCTCAACCATAAAAAAACAAATCAATTAAATATTTGGTTTGATGATTATCAATGCTATGAAGGTTGAGTGGTTATACAATAAAAGAGATGGTAGTTTTTAAACTTGGACTTTTATGACTGGTCCATTGTTTAATCGACAAGATCCCACTGCACTAATATCGAGTTTTGCGATCGTGTCAGATTTCAATCTTCGGACACGTACTGACTATTCTAAAAAAAATACGTGGATCAGTCTTCACAAACGACCTATAAGGGAAAACTGAAAAAGAATCCTCAACCAAGAGTAGGTACTTACTACCTGCTTACATATTTCTGCCGCGAAATGGTCAAGCGATACGGCTTAAATGAGAGTACCACCCGTGTAATTCACACTTCAACGTCATATCTCAAGATGGGCAACAGACCATCCTGTCTCTATGGACTTCAGTTGAAGCCTCCGCAGCAACGGGTGACCAAGCTTAAGCTATAATACCAAACTAATTAAGATTTAAGCTCCTATTTAACTGTTATAGCAAAATTAAAGCACTGTGATTCTCGGAACTTTGTAAGGGTTTTTTCCGGTAACGAAGCCAGCCGCCCTACTGGTTATAAAGACAAATTATTACCTATTGAGACATGAGGTCGCATCTCATATAAAGTAAAAACTTAGGACTTGTGCTCTGATCTCACACGAATAGGAACCTTGGTAGCAACATTCCGAAGTAATTAAGATTGGATGCCCCAGATGCACCATTCTCGGTATCAGATGTTATAAAACTCAAAGCTTAGTATTTCCACAACTATACGGAGTGTTTTTTTTTTGTAATGGTGTACCAAGCCGCAACAGTACTAATTGGATTTGAAGTCGATTCTCAGTAATGCAGATCTATTCTAGTTCTAGTCCTAAGCTTGTGTGTATCAATGTGTTATTGTTACTGAATCTTCTAAGTTGCGAAACTCCATTCCGTATCGATGGTAGACACATGAAGATTTGAAAGCGAATCTAAAGTCTTTCTAGAATAATCAAAGAATTAATTGTTTTTTCCCTTCTAACTTATAAATTGTTATTCCAGGCCGTGGCAAGAAGAAGAAGAAGCTGAAGAAACTCCTCCCCATCTTGGCTCTTCTCAAGCTCAAGTTTGCTGCCCTGATCCCCTTGTTCCTGGCCATCATTGCCTTCGCAGTATTTAAGGCATACATCCTAGGAAAGATTGCTTTCATCGCCGCCGCTTTCAGTGCTCTGAAGAAGCTCTTAGATTCCAAAAACTCCAAATCCAACAGTGGTTGGTCTGAGCCGTCCCACAATGAGCAATCCGGCTGGGAGAGCAATAACGGATGGGGCAGGTCCCAGGACTCACAGGACCTGGCTTACTCGGCTCACGTTAAAGAAGATTAGCTCATAAACGATTTTTGAATGCTCAATTGTTATTGTGAGTGGCGAGTTCTGAGCAAATCTTATTCATTTAATGCGAATTAATTTATTTAAATTATTTTAGCACGTAAGTTACGGCCAGAGTTGGAAATTTGACACATCGCGTCCTGTACCATTTATAAAAAAAAACCATTTTTATTTAAACCACCGTTTCTAATTACAATGCACAAAGTATTATTATAACGTGTAGTATATATATATTTACGTGATATTATTTTATTTTGTTTATTTTGATTTATTTTTATGATTACGTAGTTCATGTAAATATTTATCTTGTGAATCGTATATTTTATTTTTTTATATTATTATCGGTATACTATTTTTAGTACAATGTTTATTTATGTAAACATTTTATTTAAATATGAATGTATTTTATATAATTTTTATTTATATAATTAATGTTTATGCAATAATAGGAGTGAAATCTAGTATTTTACAATTATAAATATTTTAAGTTTCAGTCCCAAAGATTATATTTCTTTTTATTTTATTTTTTATTTTATTTGTAAATGTGTATATTGGTTGCATGATTTATATCAATTGTTTTATTATAAAGATAGTTAAAAAAATACCAATAATAATGTATTATGTTATATAATATATTTTAACAATAATTTATTTTGAAATTTTACGATGGATCCACGTGAAATAATAATAAAATGAGATTTAAAAATTTTTTTGGAGCTTTATTTCATCTCGTATTTTTAATTAAGAAAATTTACAAATCTCATTATTTTCTCATATTTTTGTGATTTGTGACCTCACCTTTCACAGGAGCAGCGTCTACCCTTACTATATAATGAAATATTTTGTAGGCCTCATTTTATTACACGTTGTAAATCCTACGCTAAGGAAGTAAATATATACTGAGACCTTAGAACTCATATCTCAAGATGCGTGGCAACATTTACGTTATAGATGACTATGGGCTCCGGTAACCATTTAACACCAGGTGGACTGTGAGCTCGTCCACCCAGATAAGCAATAAAAAATAATAATAAAAAATAATTAAAAACTTCGCCAGCTGCTTAAATGGAGTAAACTTAATTGAATTTCGATTAAAAACATCGTATCAAATAAAAGGAACCTTTAATTACATACAAAGATAAATGTCGTGTATTAACACTAATCCTTCGAAATATTATGTATTAATAAACCGATATTTGATCCCGGACTGGATTGTACAGACAGGATCGCTAAAAACGGTGTCGATGAGGTTTCTATGTAACGCCGGTAAGAGTAACGCCATCTATCGCCGCATAGCAGAATGAAAATGGAAGAATCTAGTAACATCTAGAACGCTCCAGAAGTACAACGCCATCTATTGTCAGATAGCGGAAACACACGTCGAAGGTAGTCGACTTGTGAGGAATGTTATCGACGATTCTAGGGATGTCGTCTGTCAGTAATCGGATCTACTCGAAGCGAAACAGCGAACGGATCATCTGAAGCGAAGCGGAAGAAGCGAATTAAGAATTTTCAAGTGTGTTTTAAGTGTTCTAAGTGCTAATACAGTTTTTAGTTGTACTCCGGTAGGATTTTTATTTATCCCGGCACATATACTTACTCATTGTCAGACCTACCTAGTGCAACTTATGATGTCTTCAAAGTGAAATGCGCACTATATTTAATTTTCTCTTAATATTCGCTAATTAGAGCCTAACTGAGAATTAAAATACACAGCTATAGTATGTAGCGGTATTAATGTTTCGCACGATTTGTATTGTTAGAAAACTTAATTAATTTGCAACTTTTTACCTACATTGTGTCTTGAAGTGTACAATTACGTTGTCATTTTCTTTTTAATACATCTGGCGGTTTCACTCAAAGGTCACTAGAGATAAGTAGGTGCTGTCTTCCCTTGTGAACTTAAAATACTAGAGAAACCTCTTTTTTTATTGCTCGAAGGGTTTGCCAAGCTCACGGCCCATCTGGTGCTAAGTGGCTACCAAGGCACACAGATATTAACAATGTAAATGCCGCCACCCACCTTGAGAATCCCATTACTGCTTCACAGTAGAAATAGGCAGGGTAGTAGTTGTATTGTGGCGTATGCCGGTTCACGCTACGTCACATTTTTTTATTGCTTAGATGGGTGGACGAGTACACAGCCCACCCGGTGTTAAGTGGTTACTGGAGCCTATAGACATCTACAACGTAAATGCGCCACCCACCTTGAGATGTGAGTTCTAAGGTCTCAGTATAGTTACAACGGCTGCCCCACCCTTCAAACCGAAACGCATTACAGTTTCACGGTAGAAATAGGCGGAGTGGTGGTACCTACCCGTGCGGACTCACAAGAGGACCTACTACCAGTAATTACGCAAATTATAATTTTGCGGGTTTGATTTTTATTACACGATGTTATTCCTGCACCGCAGAAGTCAATCGTGAACATATGTTAAGTACGTATTTAATTAGAAATATTCGTACCCGCCTGGGATTCGAACACCGGTGCATCGCTCAACACGAATGCACCGGACGTCTTATCCTTTAGGCCACGACGACTTCAAATCGCGACGACAACTTTTCAACTTTTCAGGAGAGCCATTTAAAGTTGAAAATTTGGAAAAAATATCTTTACAAAAAAACTTCTACAACTATATGAATAGGGTGAGTTTGATCGAAGTTCAATTGAAAAAAACAAATTGTTAATACTACTGCCAAATAAAACGGACCTTTAATTACAAAGATAAATGTCGCGTATTAAGTGAAATCTTATACCTTTAAACGAGCAATTCTTGTATATTAATATATATAATAATACTAGCGGCCCGCCCCGGCTCCGCTCGGGTCTTTAACAAAAATTTCAACGATATTTGATGTTGTTTTATTTGTTTAAATAAAATAACACTTATTGCGGCATAACTATAGGTAATAGTTAGAAATATGCTGTCGCGACACTTTTTATAATTAATAATGTGCTCTACACAAAGTCGTAGTACATTATTTTATTCTATCGTGAATAGTTTTCGCAGGGCACGCGATGTAAAGAATATTTTAGGTATTTTTTTTACACCGTGAGTTGCATTATTGGTATTTTAGTAAGGATCCCTAATTTTTTTCAAAAAAGGTTATATAGCCTATGTCACTCGTGAATAGTGTAGCTTCCAAACAGTGAAAGAATTTTTCAAATCGGTTCAGTAGTTTCGGAGATTATTCAATACAAACAAACAATCAAATCTTTCCTCTTTATAATATTAGTATAGATATATAATCTGAATCTCGGAAATGGCTTCAACGAATTTCATAAAATTTAGTATACAGGGGATTTCGGGGGTGATAAATCGATCTAGCTACGATTTATTTTCAGAAAATGTTGTTTTATTCGTGCTTTCAATAATCAACTCTTCCCGACATCTATTGGCGAATAAAAAATACTATTTTTCTTAATTGAGGGCAACTAACCGCTTTAAAGACACAACAAGATGGCGTTATCAAAAAAAAATCAATCATCTAGTGTCGATTAAACCAAATTGCTTTTCACCCCTCAATATAATGAAATTATGGCTATGGCCATCCGGCTATGGAATGAGCTCCCCTCCACGGTGTTTCCCGAGTGCTATAACATGTCCTTCTTCAAACGAGGCTTGTGGAGAGTATTCAGCGGTAGGCAGCGGCTTGGCTCTGCCCTTAGCATTGCTGAAGTCTATGGGTGACGGTAACCACTCACCATCAGGTGGACCGTATGCTCGTCTGCCTACAAGGGCAATAAAAAAATAAAAAAATAATCCAGTGTAGATTCGATTCAATAAGGTGCTATTACTTTTAATGTTACCATGTGACAGGTTTGAAGCGTTTTTTTCACATGACAGTCACGGCGGGACATCCGTCATTGACCGCAGGTGCGCTGTGGGTGCGGTCGCGAAAGTTCCGGGCCCCACCCACCGTCGTTACGTACGGTGTGATTTTTTAATGCGTAAATAAAATTTAAGAGGAGAAACTTTTTTTTTACTTTGATTTAGGTCGGTGTTAGGGTATCTCATGCGGACTATTTAGATATATGTTCGTTCACTGGTCGAAATTTGATTCCCTTAGATTGGTAAAGGCAGAGATGGTGCAGGAGGATCCAGGTGTCAGTTATTATGCGAGGCCACGATCGGCATTGAGGATTTTCGGCGCAAGGAGAGAGATTGGTAAACGAACTCATCATCTACTTGGGGTTCAGTGGTACTCAGATCTCATACATCACAACATTAATGCCACCACCTATCTAGAGATAGAAGAGGAAGCCTGAATTAAATAGTACAATAGCTGTTCAAAGCCGTCGGAACACGACTGAGATAGAACTAGGCAAGTCGGTGGCGATCACCCGTGGCCGGCCTACCAGATATCTTTCTATCAGTAATTACGCTAATAAATAAATAAATGTGAGTTTTAGAAAATTCTTAATCGCTTGCGGGATTCGAACACCGACACAGTCATATCGCTCGATACAAATGCTCTAGGCGTCTTATCATTCAGGCCATGACGAATACGAAATCATGACCCTTTTTTAGCCGACTTCCGAAGGAGGAGGAGGAGGTTCTCAATTCAACTGTATGTTTTTTTACTTAACTTTAATAACTTTTGACCGAATGAATCGATTTTGATGATTCTTTTTTTTTTAGAAAGCTGACGCTTCCCGTGTGGTCCCACTTCAATTTAGTCCAGTTCTGATAATGGTATCCATGAGAAAACCATATAAGTTGTAAATTTGCATTAAGTATGTGCGTGACAAATAGATGAATAACTCAATAACTCAACATCACGCCAACCGATTTCGATGATTATTGTTTTTAGTGTATATTAATTTGTTTTGCAATATCTTTTTTTTTCTATTTGAAGTCGGTTTTTGTTAAAGCATGAGTATTTACATTTTTTTTCTTCTATTGCCCGAGCAGGCAGATGAGCATACGGCCCACCTGATGGTAAGTGGTTACCGTCGCTAATGGACGTCAGCAATGGCAGCCAAGCAGCTGCCTACCGTTAACGACTCTCCACAAGCCTCGTTTGAAGAAGGACATGTCATAGCGCTCGGGAAACACCGTGGAGGGGAGCTCATTCCAT